GCCCCTGAGTTCAATTCCTAGTACTGAAAAAACAAAATCAACAACAACAACAAAAAAAAAACTTCAGATTTTTGATATTTTTAAAAACCTCTGTAGAGTTTTTTTGTGTGTTTCTCTATAGGATATTTTGGATATTTACAGAAGATACATACATTTGACTTTCAACAGACTGAATAGTTGAGTCAAAGAGGAAATACAGAACCATAATTCCTTATCTGGAAACCTGGAAGTCAGATGTGCTTAAATTCGGACTCTGTGATTCTAGAAAGGAAATGTGGTGCATTTAACACACATTGTGTAACACTCAGAAATCAAACTTGTTAGTATTACTACAGGAAAATATTCAGACTAAGTGAGATAAATACATACTCCAGAATCTCACCTTAGTTCAGGTTGTTTTATCACCAGGGTATCCACCACCCTCTACACATCCCACTCTCCTTGAGGGTATACCAAAAGCCTACAAAAATTTTTCTTTTCAAAACTTTTCACATTTGAGAATTGCCCAGAAAGGATTGTAGGCATGTCAAAATGGCTCAAATGCTAGAAAAAAAAATAATCAATCTGCTACTAATCAAAATGCAAAAATAAAAATAATCATGGTATCAATTTCTGCCCAAAAGATTGGCAAATATGTTTCTCAGGGGGGAAATGCCAAGAGTGTGAAATGTGATACTTTTAAACCATGGCTGTGACAACAAACTGGGACAACTTTCAGATAAACACTGGAATCATCAACGGCCTCAAAAATGTGAATATCACTGACCTCTAAATTGCCTTTTTAGGAACCATTTTCTGTGAAAGTCAATAGTCATCCAAGATCATGCACAAAAGTATACATGGAAACAATGAGTTTTTTTCTTTTATTTGTAGATATCTTCTTTTGTTTATTTTTATGTGGCGCTGAGGATCAAACCGAGTGCCTCACCCATGCAAGGCAAGCGCTCTAATACTGAGCCACAAACCCAGCCCCAGAAACAATGAGGTTTAAAACAATTAGTTAATAACTGCAACCTCCTAAAAGAGGCACAGTGAGGAAAAATACAGCAAATCCACACAATGGAACATCATCAGCCATTTTTTTTAGTTTATAGGAAAATGTAGAAACCTTTATATAGAATATAAGGTGAAAGGGCAGGATACAAGAGACTTGCATTGCCTTATGATCCTACTGAAGTATAGGATACATTTCGAGAGGACCAGAATAATATACTAACAGTGAAAGATGCTCAGAGTAATGGGATTAAGGTGTTTCTCTTCCCCTTACCACACAAACTTTCAAAATTTGAGGGGATTTTCCAAAAATACCTGCAGCATTATATTTTAGCTGAGGGAGAATGGTGAAAACTTCACGACTTAATTATTTGTCAATAGCAGCCATCCCATGTATCTGAGATGTCACTTTGGGCTTTTAGAAAATTACAACTTATCATTGCAACATCATCACCACCTCTAGGATGCAAGCCATATAAAACATTTGGTCTACATTTATTAGTCTTAATTGACATATATTATAATTAAATCAAGTCTAAGGGAGCACTTCTGTGCTGTAAAATCAATAAATACACAGATAAAAGACTTCCCACTGTGCCATCTGCCAAGAACTTTCAGAGGTAACAGCTTATTTGAACCTCACTAACATGGAAACAAGAACAGGCACAATGCCCCCATTTCACAGGTGAAGAAATGGAGGTAGAGAGAACAATACTCTGCCAATGGCAGAGTTGAGTCTCTCTTTAGCTTTTGACATCAAATCCAGGGCTATAACTTAAAGCAAAGTGCTAGTTCTACTACATCTTGCTACTACCCTGTTAATTAAATGATCTAAGTACTTAGACCATTGCCTGCCACATAACACGTAATAAACATCAAATCCCCTCTTCCAAAAAGAATAAAATAAAATACCCATGATGTATACAAAAATTCCAATTTTAGTCCTTGTAAGCTGCACTACATTCTATTATACTGGCTTTCAGCAGATCATTCTATTGGTAATTTTTTTAAATTTTTTAAATTAGACTTTAATGTCAGAGCCAAATAATTCTTGAAAAAGTAATGATGAAATTTTTGTATCACCTGGAACTATGGTCTCCCTGGTTCAAATCCAACTATTCAAATTCCCAAATAGTTTACTGGATTCATCTCTTTCTGGAGGAGAGGGATATGCAAAGGATAGGGAGGAAATGACAGGTACTTTTCAAGTTTTCATTTCCTCTTTAAATTAAATTTGATCATGGAATTCCAAAGAATGCTTTTTCAAACATTCCATTCACTGGCCATGTATATGTGAATGTACGTTTGGTCAGCTACCTGCCCAAAGGAGAACCCAGAATTTAATAAAGCTTATCTTTAGCATCTCAATGAAAAGTCAGGAGACTGGATGGAAGCCCACAGAACCTGGGATTCTACACTTCTCATCTCACTAGTCTCTGCACCTTTTCCACCCACTCCTTACTCAGGGGCCATGCCCACTGCCTGGTAGAGAAACTGAGAAACCAATAAGCCCTAAGGCTGAGTAACCAGAGAACTTGACATAAATAAGCCAAGATGTGGAAAATCACCCCTTCTGATGTTTGTGGTATATAGTCTCAAATGTTGCTTCTAAGAGACAGACGTTCAGTGAGACTCTTCTGCTGCAAAGGAAGTGAAAGAGATACTGCCACTACCCACTGTAAAGCTATCTGTCCTCTCTACTTCACAACTTCTGATAACAACATGCTTATAATATTATCATCTTAAATTCTCTATTTTAGAATCTCAGCAAGATTGCTAAAGTTGATACAGTGGGATACAGTAGAACGGAAATGAACTTTAGAATTAAGCAGATTGGATTATCCCGGGGGGAAAAAAAACCATATATTCATACATATACAAGTGCATGTACACGCAGATACACACATAGCCCCTAGTGGTTGTGCTTTTCTGATTGAATGCCGAATGACAGAATACCTGTGTGACGTTGTCCCACTGAAAATAAATACTTCATAGGGTTATGAGATATGTTTTAATATATACAAAGTGCCCAACCCCAAACCTGGGACACACCAAGCTCTCAACATGACTTCCCATCCCCTGGCTTTCTTCCTACTTCCCTAACAAATATTAGCAAGCCTTTGGTTCCAAGGAGATTAGATGTTGGCTGTTCAAGACATCTTTTTTTTTGGGGGGGGTGGGGGGATCAGAGATTGAACTCAGGGGCACTCAACCACTGAGCCACACCCCAGCACTATTTTTGCATTTTATTTAGAGACTGATTCTCACTGAGTTGCTTAGCACCTCGCTTTTGTTGAGGCTGGCTTTGAACTCATGATCCTTCCGCCTCAGTCTCCCAAACCGCTGGGATTATAGGCATATGCTACCACACCTGGCTAAGACATCTTCTCTTGATACAGGTCTTAAATCACACTAACAAAGTGATACTCTGTATTCCTTCCTTTTTTAGATACCTCATTCTTTTTAAGCAATAACTTTCATCAAAAAGGTTACTGTGCAATATTAGATAAGGGCTTTCTCAGTCACACTGCAGTCCTCAGACTTGGATGTTGCTCAGAGATCTATAAAAATACAAACCTGTTCTAGGAATAGATTTTTCCTGCTGACCCATAATTATGTGCATCATATGCTAAATTTTTAACAATTTTACTCACAGGTTGAGCTCTCTTCCAAATTCTGGAGCATTTGATCCTAGCCCTTGAAGCACTATCTACAGTCTGGAGTTCAATTTGAACCTAGCTATGTACCTTTAGTCCCAGCAATGAAACATAGGATGAAAATCAAAAATCTCCCATCAAATAAAACATGGCACTCACTGTCATTTCCCCAGGGTGGATGGCTGAAGGAAACACAGGTATGATAACAAAGACTCAAGAGACACATTATCCCTCCTATTCCCTTCCTAATCTGTTCTGCATCCTATGAAAAAGCAAAGGCCAAAGTGATTAGCCATTTTAAAAGCTGTAAGTGATTGGAATGTTCTCAGGAGGAAGAGCAGGGTATGTATTTTTTATGGAGAAGATAATCATTGTTCGAAGGTTTCCAATTGCTAATTATTTGGACTGAAGAGGAGCCACCCTGAAGACAAGCTTGGTAACCCCAAATGGCCAAGATATAAGCTTTTTTTTTTCCAAACTACTGCTGTTGGGTGGCAATTAATAGGGGGATGATGGTAAGAAATCCCTGGTGTCTGAAGTTATAAAAACAAGAGTGTTAGAGCTTCTATAAAAGTTATACCTCCTCTTAAGAGATTTCAATTAAAAACTCCTGCACATAGTTCATCCTTGGAGACAACACTTCAGCATCTCTGCTGGTGGCTTACCGCCACTAAAGGCTCCTTTGGTGATGACAGGAATTGACAAAGAAAAGAAAAAAAAAAAAAGTAAGCTTACAAATATGCCTTCCCTTCCGCGCTAATTTATCCAGAATGTATAGGAAGAAATCTGGAACCCCTGACCAGTTACAAGAATCCATCAAACACTAAAATAAAAACTTAGAAAGACATTGTGACTCTTCAAGATTTTAAGATTTTGCGGGTTTTGTTTTTTTTTTTTTTTTTAAGGTGAGGGAGGCAACGACAGGCCACCCAGTCCCGCGTCATGATCTTCCGCTCGCAGGGCCTTTGAGGCACAGGGCGGCAGGAAAGGGGTCCTCGGGAGTCTGAGGCGCGAGGGCAGGGAGAAAGCGCATCCAAGGAAGGCGACACCAAGTCAGGTCCCCACACCATGGGCAGCTCGGAGTTGGGGCGACACAGGTCCACAGAAGAGGCCCCCGGGGAGGGCAGGCGGGAGCCCGCGGGCGGGAAGGGAGGGACGGCAGGCGCTGCTTCGCGCCGCGCCCCGCCCGGGCCACCCCGGGCCAGCCAGATGTTCAACGCCAGGATCCCGCGGCCGCGCCAGAAGAGACAGCGCGGGGCGCAGCGGGGCTTCAGTCCCGAACCCACGCTTCCTTCCGCGCGCCTGGGACCCGGCTCAGCACCTGGCGCCCGGCCCCAACGGGGCACTCACCCGGGGCCACTAGCGGCGAACTCACGGCGCCTCCCACGAAGACGGCAGCGGCGAGGACGGCGGACCCCGGGAGTCCCCGCGGAGCCATAGCCGCGTCGCTTTGCCCTTCTCCCCCGGGGCGCCGCGTACGGCGTTCAGGCTGGCGGCGCGGCTCTGGAACCCGCGGGCGGACCAAGTGGCCCGGGTCTGCCCCCGCGCGCCCTGCGTCCCTACCCGCCGTAGCCCCACCCAGGCCCCGCCCCCTCGGCTCGGCCCCGCCTCTCCCCGCGGTTCCCGGGCCCCGCCCACTCCGGCCCGGCCCCGCCTCTCCTTGTAACTCCCGCTTCTCCCCGCATCCCAGGCTCCTCACAGCCGCGCGGATTAGCCGTGCCCCCTTCCCTGCCTCTCCGGCCCCGCTCACTGCTGCCCGGTTCCGCCTCTCCCTGCCGCTCCCGCTTCCTCTGCGAACCCCGCAGCCGCGGGTTCGGCTTGGCCCCGCCTGTGCCCCACCCACTGCAGCCCGGCCACGCCTCATCTCGACCCCCCGCCCCCCGCCGGCTTCCTATCCAAACCCCGCCTGACCGCGGCGTCGGGATTACGCGGGAGCCCCAAGCAGGGGCAGGTTCTAAGCCTTGCGTCTTCCAGGATTATCCGACGCGGAGGGAGGGGAAAAAGGAAGTGGGGAGGCAAGCCGGGAAGCCCTGGAAGTGCAGTCTAGGCCAGCATCGGAAGGCGGGCCGTCCTTTTTCCCTACTGCTATCTCAATCCCTGTAGTGTTCCCTTCGGTTACTGGTCTAGGAAGGGATGCAGCGCTGGAGGTCAGGTTCCTTTGGAAAATTAAGGAAGAAAGGTGAATAAGTTTAATTGTTCCTGTCCCTGCTTCCATTTAAGGTGCTTCTGTTGAGGAAAAGAGCTGTGTACATTTCCAGGAATAATTTGTGGAGGTTTGGAGGAGTGGTTAATTGTGTGCCTGTAATGCACCTCCCAAATACTCCCTCATGTAGCTCAAGTGTCCAGTCACTTAGGGTCTCCTTATAACCTCACATCAGTGTGAGGATGATTATTATCCCCATTTCACATGCCAGGAAGTAAACCCATGATGTCTGGGCCACTGTGATCACTGTAATCATCCGCTTTGTGTGGGCTTACTGCTACCCCCTCAGTACCTGGCTCAAGTACCCCACACAGGAAACAAGAGGTCAGAAGTATTTTTGAAATGGAATCATCATCCAAGCATTGACAGAATTGAGAGCCTTTCTTAAAGTAGCTCCCTCTTTACTGACCTGAAGAGACTCCTTCCAAAACAGAACCATCAAACTCATTCTTTGCAGAGATTTGCTGGAGAACACCAATCAACAAGAAGGGGCTGGCTGGGGTCTGGGGTGTTTTCAGAACGAGCCTTTTCCCTGAGCTGACTGATGGCCTCTAGTTTTCAAAGAACGATTATTTCTACTCTTGCTGAGTCCTCCCTGCTGTCTGCTAGACGATTACAAACATTTGCACTGATGTGAGAATTCCTGGCAACAGAAGCTCAGGACACTACAGATGGCTGAGGCTGAAAGATGAAGCCCCTGCCCTTTGAAGCCAAACACAGGCACTGCTCATCCTGTGCCCAGTTGGCAGCACATCCTGTAGTCTGTCAAGCTTAGCAGGCAGCCCTTTCTACTTGTATATTAACATAAAACCTGAGAATGAATGCAAAGGAAAGATATCCATTTGGGTGTCCAACTAAGAAAAGAGAGAATCCCAGGCTAGAAATTAAAGTATAAATTATAAATTGAAACCAGAATAGCTACATAATTTGCAGGACCCAGTGCAAAATAAAAATGCAGGCCTCTGTTCAAACATCATTAAATTCAACAATAAAAGCATTAAACCAACCTTCAAACCCTCCTAAACATGGTGAGTTGTGCTCACACAATTACAAAGCTGGCTCTGATTTTATAATTTAGACTATAACAAATGCTTGTACAAAATTGTGTATTCAAGATGTAAAATACCATTTAAAAAATGAATAGTTCTTTTTTCCATGGGTTGAACTGACTTTTAAAAAGACAGTGTTACCCAAAACTCAGTCCTTGTCCTGGAAGCCAATCCAACAACTTGGACACAGTTTTGAGAAAAAGGGGAAAAAAAAAGTTTTATTGCTTTGCTACCAAAGGATAAATACAGGGGACTCCTGTCCCAGAAGCTGTGATTCTGCCCATCAAGAGGAACAGGTGACTTTTAAAGAGATGATTCAAAGGCTACATTCCAGGTGTTCCGTCCAAAGCTGTAATCCACTTCTTAATTTAGGAGATAGTCATTTCTTGGTGTATCTTCTGGTGCCAACCCCAGATTCTGAATTACTTCATTCCTGTGGTAGATGTGTGCTGAAGAACAGATAACTCTGCCTAGAATAAAGAAGAAAGGTAATCCTGTTTCTCCTGAGAGAAAAACTGATCGTTTTTTACAGTGAATTTAAATTGCATGAATGCTATATGGCTCTGTAGAACTGAAAAATGCAATCGTATTTAAAACTGGAGGAAACTTCATTAATCATCTACTGTAAGCCCCTTATTTTCCAGATGAGAGAAGGGTACGTGATTTGCCTGACAAAATGTATGAGCCAGGGTTGGAACCCAAGGCTCTGAAAATTCCCTTCCCAGACTTTCCCAAATGCTTAGTTGTTGACACACTCTCTTTAGAGGTCATAGTAACGTGTGCATTTGCACATCTTGTTTAAGAAAGAAAGGAAGGAACAGGCGCAGTGGCACATACTGTAATCCCAGCAGCTTGGGAGTCTGAGGCAGGAGGATAACGAACTCAAAGCCAGCCTCAGCAAAAGTGAGGCACTAAGCAACTCAATGAGACCCTGTCCCTAAATAAAATACAAAATAGGACTGGGGATGTGGCTCAGTGGTTGAGTGCCCCTGAATTCAATCCCTGGCAGAAAGAAAGGGGGGGGGGAGGGAGGGAAAACAGGAAGCAGAGTGAAAGGATAGGAGGAAGGAAAGAAAGACAATCAAGCTTACATTGTTTTCCAGGTCCTTAATTCTAAAGATTTGTTCACATAAAGAAAAAACAATTTCCATATGTATATATCTAAGAGCCCACTGTTTTATTTTAAATGTAAAGACATTTATTTTAAATGTAAAGAAATGTAGTGGAAGTTCTCATCTGTTTTCTGAAGGAGAGGTCACATTTCTTCTGATGGAATCAAACCAACTTTGCAAAACTAAGTAATCCCATTCTTTTCAAAAATAAGATAGAAAATAGAAATTGTTGTAACAATAACTCTCATTTATTCATTTCTTAGATGTAGTTGGATACAATGGTGAGCATTTTTCTTGTTTCCTTTCATCAAATTATCCAAACAATATTTTATTTGGGGAAATATTGTTAATGATGGTCACATCAAAGCTGAGGAGATAACCATTCGAGGGAGTCTGGCATTTACCTGATTTACATAGCTGCCCCCTGCCCTGCCAGGATGCAAATCCAGGAACAGCTCTCTCCATGCCTAAGCTTACAACCTCCACATAAACTATTCTGCCTACAGAAATGCAGAAAACTGATCAGTCAGCTCTTCATTTCCAATATAAAGTCTCATTCTTATTCTACAATTGCATGCTTATCCTAGCCTTTTTGAACTCTGTCTTGACAAGTACTTATGTGTTTTTTTTTTCTTCAAGAAGAATAATTTATTTACTTATGGGAATGGATGTAAATCAGAGTGCATGGGATCAAACTGACAAACTTACAGTGTGCTATAGTGTCTAGTTTTTGTTGATTTTTTTCCCACTTCCTCTGTGAGACTTCATTTAATCACTCCCCTTTATAGAGACTTTTCCTGTTTTCCTCTGTACAGCTAAGGTGGTAATTTTCATTACCATCATTTAAATGCACAAGACTCTGTTAGCTGGTGTTTACTCTAATCAATGTTGACCTTACTTCTGCAGAAGGTCTCTATAGAATTTCTTCTTTCTGTGATTTTAGCTGTAGTCATCTGTCCTTTTGAGAGTTTATACATAGAAAATAAGCTTACAGTTCTTTTTTTTTTAAATGTCTGCAAGGGAATAAAATACTATTTTATAAAGTCTAGGGTTATTTTAATCTGACAATAAATATGTACTATGTTTCTCTCAGCTAGGCTGAGAGTAGGAGGTTGAAGGGGAGAATTACCATAAATTTAATAAAAGATCCTAATATTGCTTACAGAAACTTTTAAACTTACTGGAAGAAAGGACACAATTGCATGGTGAAATGGAAATGATCAGCGGTCCAGGGGCCAGGGAACACTCACTCTTGTAACTCTCAGATTCTCTTAGACTGGTCTTCTTACCCATAAAATCCAGGAGGCAATAGGAAGATTTCTAAAGGTTCTTTCTTGTCCAGCCCTAAGATTCTACATTGTCATGAACAACCAAATGACAGGGTGCCAAAGTCAGGCTGGCCTGCAGGATTTTCTACACCATGGACCTTGTGAAAGTCCATGAATCTGTTGTGAAGGGTTGTCATGTTTAGCTCCATCCTTGGCCTCTCATCGACTCAATGCCAGTTGCACCCCACCACAGCTGTGACAACCAGAAATGTCTACAGATATTACAGATATTATCAAATGTCCTGGGGCAGGGGTGGGGTGGGAATCACTCCTAATCAATAAACAATAAAGAACTGGGCTATAGGAATTACAAGAACACAAGGACTATATCTGGAGACTGAGCAGAATTTCAGTGTAAGTTGAGCTGAGTCTTAAAGGAAGTACAGGACTGGGACTGTTGGGGAGGTGAGGAGAGTATGAGTGATGGACAGAGGAAGAATTTGCAAGGTGCAGGAACATATGAGGCATGTGCACCAGGGACGAGAAGGTATGTCTTCAATAATCATGGGTCATAGTTGGAAATAGTAGTTGATAGAAGCAGAATGGAGAGTTTTCAAATGCCCTAGAAGTAAATTATAATGTGACTATCACCAAAATAGATTTGCGGGGGAGAAGAATTTCTATGGTTCAATTAGATATTTTCCATCGTAATCAGGAAGTCTTGAGTAGAGAAATTCTAATTTGCCAACATGTTCCATAGAAGTCAGAGGAATCTGACATTACCAATGATGTCTTTAACCTCAGTCCATTTCTCTGGATCACCACACCAAGTTATGTTTTGTGGGTGCATGGTCCCCCAGAAAATTCCAAGTAAGTGATTGAGATCATTTGCTGCTAGAGCCTCAAAATCAAGTG